TGCTGTTCCAACGGCCACTGCTGTTCCAACAGCCACTGCTGTTATTACTACTTACCATTTATTGAACACTCTCTATGTTGCCAGCTTTATGATTGCACTGGTGTGACAATGTCAAATAAGACACTATGCCTGACCCTAGAAGAACTGACAGCCCAGTTGTACAACTTAGCAAATACTATTATAGAATGACATCTAAATAAGATAGGATGGATTCTTGCTTTAGGAAACAGACTTCAGATTTCTATTGTTAGTTCTATAATTCACATAGTGAACTAGTAGTAGCTAATACTTACTAGTGCCTACTATATGCCAGGTACAGTTTTAAGTGCCATTAACACAGAGTCTTTATAACAGCCCTATGAAGTAGATACAATGACTGTATCTTCATTTTACTGAGGAAAAAAAACTGAGGCTCAGAGAGGTTAAGCAGCTTTCTCAAGGTCGTACAGAACCTGTGAGCAGCAGAGATGGGATTTGATTCCAGGCCTCTGATCTTATGTTCTTAAGTACCTCCCTATACTGTTATTGAAACAAGTTTAAGCCAACCTTCCAGAAAACATAGCCATAATTTATAACTTATTTCTATGTTAAAGTAAATTTTGAGTTGTGATATAGTTGGGCTGTGTCCCCACCCAAGTCTCACCTTGAGTTGTAATGATCTCCATGTGTAAAGGATGGGGCCAGGAGAAGATAACTGAATCATTGGGGAAGTTCCATTTATAAATGGCAGGCCAGAGATAAGATCCTGGAAGGATTAAAACAATACAATGTCACTGAGCTCATAAGTGCCAGGAAACAATTATAAGGTAGACAAAGATGTAGAGAAAGAGTAGAGAGATACCAAAGAAAAGTTTTGCCCATTTATAAATGGAACTGCACAAGATCTTTTGCCTGGCTCCATGTAAATCGTGCCTTTGCTTCTACTTTGCCTTCTGCCTTGATTGTGAGGCCTCCCCAGGTATGTGGAACTGTGAGTCCAGGAAACCTCTTGCTTCATAAATTACCCAGTCTTGGTTATGCCTTTATTAGCAGCATGAGAATGGTCCAATATAAGTTCCAAACTTATGATTAGAGGAAATTTTCAAAACGCATGTTTTAAGTGAGGAAACTGCCTGGGACCTCCTGAGACTTTAAGAGAACTGCAGACTTCAGTGAAAGACAGTTTATGGGACACTATATAAGTTCTACGTAAAAGGCACTAGAAGGTTAATTGCCACATCTTAAGCTCAGGAATCCTAATTTGAGGGGATTGATTGATATGCAGCTCTTCTTCTTAATTCATACTGCTAACAAACTTAATCAGTTAAGGTTACTTTAAAAAGCAAGCAAATGCATTTATAGGAGAACTTCTGCTTTTTTTTTTTTTTTTTTTTTTTGAGGCGGAGTCTCGCTCTTGTTGCCCAGGCTGGAGAGCAGTGGCAAGATCTCAGCTCACTACAACCTCCTCCTCCTGGGTTCAAGCGATTCTCCTGCCTCAGCCTCTGAGTAGCTGGGATTATGGGCACCTGCCACCATGCCTAGCTAATATGTCTATTTTTTTTTTTTAGTGGAGACAGGTTTTGCCTTATTGGGCAGGCTGATCTAGAACTCCTGACCTCAGGTGATCTGCCTGCCTCAGCCTCCCAAAGTGCTGGGCTTACAGGTGTGAGCCTTCGCACAGGGCCAAGAACTTCTGCTCTTAAGGAGGAGGAATAAATGTACACTGTCAGGAGCACTTTACCTGTTTCCGTGCTCTTGCTCCCTTTAGAAGATTGCTAAGTCTAACTTCTATGCCATGTCTAATAAGAAGACATTGTTGAGCAGTAATTCTTACAACCTTATTTTAAAATTTTTATGATACATTGAAGTGTTTAATCTTTGCTTTTCATATCTGCTTTTTTTTTCTTTGTGGTTTCTTCTATTCATTCTGGTATCAGAAAGTTATCTTCTGTTATGGGCTGAATTGTGTCCTGCCAGAATTCATATGTTGCAGTCCTAACCCCCAGTACCTCACAATATGCCAGTATTTGGAGATGGAGTATTTGGATTAAGTAAAATGAGGTGATGAGGGTGGGCCCTAATTATGTATGAGTGGTTATACATTTTATATATGTATATATATATATATAATTTTATAGTGGTCATATATATTATAAGAAGAGATCAATACACAGGCACAGAAGGAAGACCATGTGAAGACAGGGATAAGTTGGCCATCTACAAACCACAAAGAAGGCCTCAAAAGAAACCAGCTCTCAGACTTTGAACTCAGACTTCTAGTCTCCAGAATTGTGAGAAATTAATTATCTGTTGTTCAAGCCACAGTCTTTGATACTTTGTTATGGCAGCCCTAGGAGACTAAGACACTATGTAAGAGTAAGCCCTGGTGACTCCAGCACTGCTATGGAGCTTCTATCCAAAGTCCTGTAAGGGCAGTTTATAAACATATTAATGTAATTGTAAAGAAACTATAAACTTCATGAATTCATCCAACAAACATTTATTGAGCTAGTACTGCACATCAGTATGAGCTAAATGGCAAATACAAAAAGATGAGCCCTTTAGTAGCTCAAAATAAACAATATCCCACATTACCCTCAAGGGATTAATAGTTTAGAGGAAACAGGCACATACAGAGTGAATTTCAATATGATGTGACCACTGATTAAGACTGTGGTATGCTCAGTGTGGATAAGGACCAGATCCTGTGGGAAATCCACTGGGACCTCAAGAAGGCTGTCAGACTGGAGGCCATAGCTAACCTAGTTCTTTAAGGAAAAGTGTGGCAGATGGATGAAGAGAGACATTTCAGTGACAGGAATGCCATAGACAAAGGCAGAGAAATGGGAAAGTAACTAGTATGTCAGTTGATAACTGAGAGTTCAGGGTAACTGCAGTTAGAATGTGTATGAAAGAGAGTGGGAGGAGAGATTGAAAAGTTGGGTTTTAATCTGATAGTGGAAAGCCACCAGAGATTTTTATAGAGAAAAGTCGTGATTGGACTTTGCTTTGAGCATGTTCTTTTTAGTAGTACAAAGAATGAAACAGTATAGGGAGAGAGAGATGGGCTGCAGAAAGGCTGGATGGCAGAGAGCAGGGGGGCCTGAACTGAGGCGGTGGTACCCGTGTGGAGAAGGGCAGTCCTGCTTTAAAGATATTTCAGAGGTGAAATTGAATGGATCTGCTAACCTACATTGTGAAAATGTTAACACCTTCATATGTACTAGCAAGTGAAAAGTACTTCCAAACATAACACAGTATACAATGTTTACTTGTTTTTGTTCTCCCTGTATTAGATGTATAAATAAGTATCATTGTTTCTTTTAACATATAGACTTTCTGATATAATACACAAATTTTTATTTACTTTTTAAGAATTAAATTCAAAGGAGCTACATTTTCTTGTGATATGCTTAAATTTGGGAACAATTGTTTCTCTAAAAAGTACAGTATAATTGGATACAGTTAAATAAATTTTATGTCATAAGAGCGCTTCTGGTATTTTTGTGATTTTTCCAAGTTGAACTTGCTGGAAAACTATTTGAAACAAGAGAAAGTCTGGGAGAATACACTCTTCTGAATCTAATCTAAGTGTTCTCACTACCCACCTATTTTGGGTACTTTTTTCAGTCTCTCTAGGCCAAGGGTTTCTTATTTCTAAAAGGAGCAATAGATTCCTTGATCCCTAAGATTCCTGCTGACTAAAATATGTAACTCTTTCCTCCCAAAAGAACTACTGGTCTTTAATTCTAAAATGCATTTTTTTGTTCATGTGTTTTAAAAAGAAGACTACATTTTGCTGAACAATGTTTCTTGGACAGTATATAAATCTTATTAGATGCCTTTGAGATTCATTCAAAGACCTAAAGCATCGTGCACGTTTAAAACACTACCAGGCTCCAGTACGAAGGCACTCAGGGGAACGTATTTAAACATCGCAGGTTCAGCCAAGTCTTACTGAGAGTAACACGACGAACAAGTGATGTTTTTTGAAACAAATTTGGAGAGTTGGCTGCAGGAAAATTAACAAGCCGGTGGATTTCCTTTTCCCTTCCTTAGGAAACTTGTTTCTGTAGGTGCAAAAAGGGCCCTAGATTCTCTGGAAGAGAAAGGGGAGAGTGGGGAGGGGAAGTTTCTCCGCTTTCTCTACTCCCCACCTGCGGTCTGTCTGATTTCCTCTCCAGCTTTGTCTGATAAGGAATTGATTCTCCCCCTCCTCTTCCCCCTCCCACCCTCCCTCTTCTTCTCCCTGAGTAACGAGGCTGTCCTAGCAAGTGATGCTGTCGGAGACAGGAGGCAAAGCCGCCGCCGCGGGACTGGAGAGCCTCTCCCAGCACCAGCGCTCCAACTCGGCCCCGGGCTTCCTCGTCGTAGCCACGGCCGCCGAGGCTGCTCCCACGGTTTGATGGTGGGCGGCGGCGGCTTGGCTTCGGCTCCCGCCTCTAACTGCTTGATCGCGGGCCGCGCGGCTCTCCGCTCCTGCCTTCCCGCCCTGGGTCGCCCAGGGCTGCGGAAGCCGCGGGAGGTGGGGAAGGGGCGCCGCGGGGAGACCGCACGGCCGCGAAGGCAGAGGAGGCCGGCGACCAGCACCCCCATACTCGGACCGCAGCCGGCGCAATGTCCACCAAGGTCAGGAAGTGCAAGGAACAAGCAAGGGTGACCTTCCCAGCGCCGGAGGAGGAGGAAGACGAGGGCGAGGACGGGGGCGCGGAGCCGCAGCGCCGCCGCCGGGGTTGGAGGGGCGTCAACGGGGGGCTGGAGCCGCGCTCAGCGCCCTCGCAGCGGGAGCCCCACGGCTACGGCCCGCCGCCCTTCTCCCACGGGCCGGACCTGTGAGTACCGGGCCCGGCCGCCGCCCGCGCCTCGGAGGGCGGTGCCGGGAGGGGGGCGGGAAGGCGCGCGCCCGGCCGCTCCACTACTTGCCCAGGACCTCCGAGACCCACTTGGTACGGCCGGGCAGAAATTCGGGGTGACTTGGAAGGGACAGACCTCGGCTGGAGGCTCGTACCCTCTGTCCCGCGCGGTGGAGGGACTCGGGTAGCGGAGTGCATGGCGGGAGCTCTGTCCCGGCTCAAGCGCACGGAACAGCCCGCAGACGGGCACACCGACGCCAGACAAGCATCCTAGCGAGCAGCCACTCCCTGTCCTAGAGCCCAGGAGCGCGCACTACTGCCGCCAGGGCTGGGCACCCCTTGGCAGTCAGATCCTGGGTCCTGAGCTTACTCCGGGAGGCCGAGGAAGGGGAAGAAGTGCGCAGATCCAGGCGCGCACTTGAACCCCGAACTCCTCCGAGGCATCCCAGCGTGTGGCCACTCTGGGAACTTGGGTCCCCTCCGACGCTTGGGACGTCGAGGGCGGGGGCAGAGAAATGGGGAGTGGGGAGAGGACAGTGCGATACAGGATGTGGGTTGAAGGTTTGTCCAGACGCCTGGTCTCCCAGGGATTCAGTTACTATTGGGGTAAAGCGGCAACCGAAGCCCTATAGGGTCCCCGGAGGGAGGGAGTGAGCACCAGGCAGCCTGGGAACCGCTATTATTTTTTAGGTAACTTTGGCTGCGGTTCCCAGACGACGCGGGGTCTCTCTCTCCTCTTTCTCTCTCTCCCTCTCTTTCTAAACGAAGGAGCGGTCGGCGCGCTAGTGCTTAGAAGGGAGCAACTTTTCTTAATTTCCAATATTGGAGACAGCCTTTAATCAGTGCTAGACGCAGAGAAGATTAAAAGAGGGTGATCGGTTTTACAGGGTGAGATGCTCTGTATTTTTCCTGTCACGTACACTGGGAGTGCCGCAGAGCGTACTGGCTTTTTTAGGAAGAACGCTCAGAACTAGGTAGAGAACTTGGGGTCCAACGGTGGCGGGAGGAGCGGACTGGCGGAGCGGGGGAGGTGGTTCTCCAGGGCAGAGACCGAAGTTCTGCAGCGACCCCTGCCGCCGGCGAGCGGCCCACCGCCCGGAGCCGATACTTATGGGTGACCCCTGGACCCCAGGATCGTGCGATGCTCCGCTCGCGCAGAGTCGCCGCCTGGCCTGACTGCACCTGCCCGTAGGACACAGGAACACAATGAATGGCTGGGAGTAGATCCCGTAGGGAAGAATTCTGATTAAAATGAGCGACGCATCGCGATGTGGTTCAGTTATTGCTGAAGATTAGCGTGGAGTGGAAACGGCCCAGGAAATGGAGGGAAGGTATATCCTTTGGGATTAAAGTGCTGCCAGCTCACTTCCCTGTCTCCCTAAGGTTTTAAAACATTGTGCATTTTTCCTTTTGCCAAACAGTTTTTCTATGACCTAGCTGTTTCTTGAGTCCTTTTAAAATTCTTTTTTAAAAAAAACCCTTAAATCCTGACTACAAGAGACACCTGAACTCTTATCTGAGAAAGTAGGGCGGAGGAGAGATTACTCACTTTGCTTTCTGAAATTTGAGGTCTGTTACACAAAGCCCTGGGGCAAATTCTATCGCAAGCTTGCTATTTCACTGCTAATAGAACATCTTTCGTATAGGTTTGCTAACTTTATAATTCAACAAGCAAATGTGGTGGTGTACTTATTTTGTAGTGGTCGAGAAGAAGACCCAGTCATTTTTAAGGAAATACACATTAATAAATATTTCTTCTAGAGGAAGAGCAGCAAGCTCTTCATGTTTATTTCAGGTCTGTTACTTGGTAACATCAGAGATTAGCTTGATCTCTGTAACAGAGATTAGCTCTTTATTCTCCCTTTGAGGCGAATATGACCACTGTTTAATAAACAGTGTTTACTTATTGTTGCTTAAAAGTGAACACGACAGCCCTAGGATAGGCTCAGAGGATACCCAGGGTCATTTCAGTAGGCAGAACAGCATAGCTGAATTTAAAATTCAGCAGGATGCTGAGGATACAATCCCACTTTTACTAAGATAATTCCTCAGGGTAGTTCTGTTGCTCATTTCACTGCTCCATGTTCCTTTTTTCCATGTGGAAATTTTAAATAGACTGACTTGGGAGGAAAAGTGTCGCCTGCTGTATCACTAACAGCTGTTGATAGAACTCTTGATTGAACCACTGATTCAAACCAAGACTTCTTTATCCCATTGTTTGCAAACCTAGGATCAAGTAATATGTCATTGTAGTGATGTCCTCATCCTTGAAATGTTTCAGTTATTCAGTATATCTGATGAACTCCAAAAAAGGCATTGGAAGGCAGTTTTCATGAGTCTGAATTTAAGCATTTCTCAAGCATTCATATGTGCAAAGTGTGGGCTAGGTACAGCAAGCCACAAAGACGAGCATGACAAGTTTCCTGTACTCAAGAAGTTTAAAATCTCATGAGGGAGAGGTGGTAATGAGACTGGGCACGAGCATTTTTGCTATAAGTTAGAGTAAAATCAGTTCCATTCTTCAAAAACACAAAGAGTTATAAAGGGTCAAGTGCAAAGAAGAGAAGGACAACATTAGGTTGTGGAGAAATCAAGGAAACCTTTATGGGCCTTAAAGGATAGATAGGACCCAAAGCAGAGACAGGGTAAGTACTTAATTCAAGCCCTCTCTTCCCTCAAAATTCCAGGTGTGTTTAAGGAGTATTAGTTGAGTTTGGTTGGAACATAGAGTATGTGTAGGTGAGCAGTAGAATTTAGCTGGACATGTTGGTTTGAGGCATTAACGTGGAGGATCTTGTATGCCAGGATGAGGCACTAGGGAACCACTGATTATTTTAAAGCAAACCCACTCTGAATTGCAGTGGCAATTAATTGAAAGTGAAGAAACAAATTAGGAGACTACTGTAAGTGTCCAGGCTGAGATTAGGCTCTGTAATAGCATAGTGTTGGTGGAATGGAAAGGGGAGAAATTGGAAAAAAAAAAAAAAAAAAAAAAAACCAGCCAGAATCTATGGAATTTTGCAACTCACTATCCATGAGGGGTTTAAAGAAAAAGCAGGATCAGAGACAACTTAGTGATTTTTGACCCAGATAACTAAGATTGTTGATACTGTTGTTGACAAGAAAAAAGCAAAGGTGAAGACCTGATTTTTCAGACAGTTCCTTGTTTTTTTTTCTTTTTTATTTAGAGGAATAGTGAATGATCAGATATTTCTGACAGAGGTGTTAAGCAGGGAAAAGGAAATACAAGTTTAAAGCTCAGGAGAATGTGAGAGGCTGCTGTCTGATGGGAATTGTTACAGAGTTGTGTGACTACATGAGATTACTAAAAGGAGTGTGAAGAGAGAAACAAAGGGAGACCAACCTAGATTTTGAGGGATTTTTTTTTTTTTTTTTTGAGACTGGAGTTTCACTGTTGTTACCCAGACTGGAATGCAGTGGCACAATCTCGGCTCACCACAACCTCCGCCTCCTGGGTTCAAGCAATTCTCCTGCCTCAGCCTCCTGAGTAGCTGGGACTACAGGCACGCACCATCATGCCCAGCTAACTTTTGTATTTTTAGTAGAGACGGAGTTTCACCTTGTTGACCAGGATGGTCTTGATCTCTTGACCTCGTGATCCACCCGCCTCGGCCTCCCAAAGTGCTGGGATTATAGGCGTGAGCCACTGCGCCCGGGGGGAAAAATTTCTTTTTTAGAAGGCAGGGAAAAAAGCAGCAAGAAAAGAAAAACATCACTGCACACTCAGCAAAAACAGAAAAGATCAAGAGAAAAACTAATGAGTCCACTGTTAGGAAAAAGAATCAGTCCTTGTATGTGTTAACATACACGTGCAAAATCATTAGATTTTTCAGCAATGTTATCTTTAACAGAGGAAGATTTCTAGAAAAAAAATCTGTTTAGTTTTTCTTCAGAGGAAGTGCTACCCAAAAATAGCCGTAATAAAAGCAGTTAATTTGTGTTTATATACTACTTCATGTTGTCATTTATACTCATTCATTTGAATCATTCCTCTTTAAAGCAGTTTTTTAAAAATCATTGTCATCACTTAGCAAATGAGGAAATTGGTACACAGAGAAGTAAAGTAATTTTCTAGTACTACCTGGCAAATCAGTAATAGATTTTCTGACACCCACCTTTATATGATCAAGGAACCAAAGGTGAGTCCACAGTGCCTTATAACTCAGATTACCTAAAGTACTTTGTATGTTAGTTTCTGTGGCACTGACCTTGTATAAATGTTCCAGTCTTGGCTTCATGTGTGTGTTGGCTCAGGCATCAGATTGGATGCAGCACTTCCCTCCCTCCCAACTCTGGAGTAGAAATCAGATTCTCCAAGTGATTGTTGAATCTTAGGGACAGGAGTCTGGACTTTGGGGACTGAAATTAGACTGACTAGTGTTATTAATAAAGGCAACTTTCTTTACAGTTATAGTTTAGTTTTTAAGAACAGCACAGCATGGCATTAGACTTAAGGACTTTATTTTTTTAATACTTTTTTTTTTTTTTGAGACAGAGTCCCACTCCGTCGCCTAGGCTAGAGTGTAGTTGTGTGATCATAGCTCATTGCAGCCTCAAACTCCCAGGCTGAGGTGATCCTCAAATCTTAGCCTCCCAAGTGGCTGGGACTACAAGTACACACTACCATGACTAGCTACTTTTTACATTTTTTGTACAGATGAAGTCTCACTATGTTGCTTAACCTGGTCTCAAGCTCCTGAGCTCAAGCAATCCTCCTGCCTCTGCCTTCCAAGTTGCTGTGGTTATAGGCCTGAACCACCATGCCACTCAGCCTTGAGGACTTTAATACTCTGAAACTTTTCTTTATATTCTCAGTTGTATAACCTAGAGTAGCAGTTTCACTATGTACAACAAGTTGTCATTTTTGTTGGTTTGTTTTAAATTATTTTTGTGTAATTTCAAAGTATTATATGAATATAGATTTAAAAGTTAGATAGTGCTAAAAGACTTCTTTGAACAACAGCAAGCCCCCAGCAATTCCCTGGTCCCCTCTCCTTTTCTTTCCATCTTCTCTGTTTCACTCCACTTTCAACTCTTTCATATACAGCTATCTTTTTATTCATATTTTAGATGTTATCAATAGTCTCAGGTGAGAATTTATGTTCACATGTGTCTCTTTTCTGTTAATATCTTATTTAAGTTCTTCATTAATATGACCATGTAATCATTGTTCTCTGCTAAGTCAAGTAGTATAGTATGACTACATTTATTTTCTTTGATAATTGGTTGTTTTTCTTGGAGTAAATATTTGTCACATTGTGCCCTTGTTTCTTTAGCCGAATCTTCTACTGTCTAACTGTGTGTGTTTTCCTGAAGTTATCCCTTCTAGAGCCCTCTAACTTGCTTTGTATGAGGTCTTTCTTTTCCCCACTTCAGGAAGCTCTTAGAGCTCTCGTCTGTTCACTAGCTCTCTTCTGAAGATGTGCCTTGGTATGGAGGCTTTCTTCATCACCTGAGCTGGACACTTGGTTAACGCTTTCCATCTGGACATTATGTCCTTTAGTTCTGGGAAGTTTTAGTTCTGGGAAGTTTTCCTACCCACTATTTTTATTCTTCACTTTTCCTGGAATTTCTATTGTCTGGATGTTGGACCTCCTGACTGATCCCCTACTTTTTGTATCTCTTCTCTTCTGTTTTCCAATGTTTGCTTTTCATATTCTTTCTGAAATATTTCTGAGATATTTCTTTGTCTCTATCTCTCAACTCTTCCACTAAATTTATTTCCATTTTAGTGTTATATTTTTAATTGCTAAGAGCTCTTTCTTGTCTTAAAAATGAGTATTCCTTTTTTGTAGCATTCTTTATTTCAGAGATTCAGTTTTTTTCGTGAAAAACTCCTGCATCTCAGGGAAGAAGAGATTGGGAAATAATAAACCTGGTGTTGGTATTGATGAACTGAGCAAGAGTGCCCCTGTTCCTAGTTCCTGCCCTCCCCTGGGCCTGGTATCCCCACATCTAGAGCTTTTCTGTTTCCACATCTCCAGAGATTCCATATCCTATCTTTCATAGGGGTACAGGAGGGTTGTCTCTTAACTGTATCAATTGGCAAGTGGGGATGTAGGGGGAGGGTTTCTACACACTTGTTATACATCTAGTTCCCTCACTTTAGATTCCAGCCTTATCTCTACTTTCTGGAATTTCTTTTGCCTTCAATTTCTAGGCATTCTCTGGCATTGACCTGGGTGGATCAGCTTGTTTTCTGTAACAAGTACTCTAGTTGGAACTTCATTCTGTCCACTAAATGATTGACTATTGTAACAGCTCATCTCCTTTCCACCTTAATATATTGTGGCTTGGAGTTATAGATGTC